CTTTTTTTTTTTCTTTTTGGGATGTAATAAATATTCACATACAATTTTAAATTATTTACACATAGTTTATCTTTTGTTTTAAGACTTCACACAGACAGATATATACACTATTTCAGCCGTGACTGGCCGTTCCCTTTTTTTGTAAGTATTGCCCTTTCTAACTAAAAGTAAGGCAAGGGCCTTCTTTTCTGAAAAGCTAGATGTATATTGTTGTTTTATTTTGACCGCGCCGTTCGCTTACCTTGGTCGCCTACCTTCCTCTTTTCTTCTTTTTGACTTTTTTGTCGTAGGTCCTCGGCGCCATCTTCTTTTGAATTTGCGCCGAGTTGTAGGCGTTGAGTTCCGACTGTTCTGAATTCTCTGAACTCCTGGGCCTTCTTCTCTTGGCCATGCTGCCCGATGTTTTGAGGAAATCGAACCCTCTGCTTTGATATTTTACCAGGGTCATGGCCGTTGGCCAAGACATAAGGGGTTATACCCACGGCCGAAATTTTTAAGATACGGCGTGCCCAAAAAACCTTAGAAAATAAATCGTGCGCATTGCTAAGCTCCTTTGACAAGCGCGGCCTTGGGTAATCTGGTGCCCGCAGCTCTCCCTTTATTAAATCGTCCGTCACGATAGTCCGGATGTCCTCAAACCGAAACCCTTGACACGGCCTGCTTTGCTGCGCATTGTTTCGTGGCCAATCCTGCCGGGCCGTCTGAGCAATGGGCTCGGTCGTTATGACCGAGCCGGGTAGTTTCAGCGGAGCGCCGTGGGTTTGGCCGAGATAATCTCGGTCGGCTAGCCATCGAGGTATGGTCACCTGGTCCTGCTGATCTGTATCATAAAGGGAACCTAGGCGCGCTTGCATTGTCGCCTGAATGACCGAATCGTGTATTTGCAATGATAGTGCAACAGTCATGCCTTTTTGCTCGCACTGTTGTGGTAACGCTTCGGTCGTACTGCTTTGGCCGGACTGTGCTTGATCGACCAAAGTATGGGTTGGGCCGAATTGCTCGGCCGTAGATACCGTAGGACTCCCCCTGAATGCTTTGGCTAGAGCGTGGAGTGGGCTACATGCTTTCTTTGCCGGTTGGTTTGGCCCGGGACTCGCCCTTGTGGGCTGGGCCTGCCCCCAGCTGTTGGTCGGCGGCAAAGGATGCTGGCCGTAGCCTAACACTTGGGTACGGGAAAAGACGCCAAGGCTGCTGCTTTCGCCGTATGGCTCAATCCTTTCACGTTCCCGGCTTCTATATCCGGCTCCAGGGAGTGTTGTGGGCGAAGTCACCGGCATTCTCTCCTGGAAAAGCGTTCGTATCTCTGAAGAAAATCTGTCCATCGTGGCCATGAAGGATGTTTCCATCCTGCAAGCCTGCCTGGACATCAAATCCTCCATTCCTGCTTGTTCCTGTATGGACTCGGCCGTACGATCCGTCATTACTGGAACGCTGGCCGAGATCCCGACCGTATGTTCGGTCACGGTAATTGGTGAAGTGGACTCAGGAGTCTCAGAAGTCATTTCGACCGTCTTGTTTTTGAGCTTTGCCTGTGCCCTAGTTTCCACCATAAATTTTTGA